GTTGAATTTTTGTAAGATAAAGCTTAAAGATGAATTCTATGATATTTATGAATTTGGAAAAATCTGAATAGTTGAATCAAGAGATATGAATTTTACTTTTGTGACATTGAAAAGAACTAAAAAATCACTTAAAGATGATATATTATTGAACTAGAATGGCTATTACCAAAAATAAGAAGACTAAAAAGTCTTGAAATAAGACTAAAGACTAGAAAGGTATTAACAAGAGTGAAGAATACTACAATCTTGCTTCTATATATACTCTTTATTAGGAGTTACATGACAATATTCTATAAGACCTCCAAAACATGTTGACTTTGTAAGACACATATCTTAACTTACAAGGCAAGTTTTTTATATGTATGCTACATAGTTAACTTATTTTGCAAGCTATCAACATGTGGTTAACTTGTCGACCAAGTTCCTAATCTACCAATCAACTACGAACACATATAAAGTCAAAACACCATCTATAAAGCTTCTAAGAATCTACTTCTATCTAATTATATAAGTATGTACTAGAGTACTTATGTGTATTTGTGATACAATCTTGCCACCAATGGTCAAGGATTCTATAATTATTACATTGGGATTTCTTTTTTATTTTACTAATATTTAAATTTTTGAATTCTATATTTTGATAAGATTGAGGTTAATAAAAATTCTAATTATTTTGTATTATATCAAGTCAATAATAGTTTTATGAGAAATCAGATCGATCATTGATCCTTGATAAATTTAGTCAATTATAAAGTTTTTTTCATAAAGTATATGGCCCTAAAAAAGAAGAACTTAGATATTGCAATGTAGGTCCTAGATATGGCATTGATCGTGGTTTTTAAATATTTTGTGGATAATTTTAGAAATTCTAGTTAAAATACATATTTAAAATTAATCTATGAGAATTATAATTCCTACTAATAGACTAGCTTCAATAACTACCTATACTAAAAGATCATCTGTGTCTACCATAAAATACACTTGATTCCATAGTTAAGTCATTTTGAATTTGTAATAAAATCCTATGTTCTTTTGTTTTCAGACGTAATTTTTGATTGGAATTTTTTTTATCATTCTTTGTTATATTATTTCATATTGAATAGAATTTGCAAAAACCAGAATGAAGGTTTGAAGTGAGTTTAGATATCATACAAGAATATGTAAACTTAGTATTATCTAGATCTTTTAATTTGTTCATAAAAAGTTTGAATTGAAATATAAATTTGGAAATGGATTGACCATGTTGAATTCTTCCATTAAAGAATTTTTGCTTAAGTTCATAAACATTGACACTCTTTTTAAGTTCATGATCCTCTAATAATCTGTCCCAAAATTATTGTGAAATTTTGCAATATGTTAGAGGCACAAAAAATTATCACTTAATGGAAGAAATTGATAGAGTATAAGCTTTATAATTTGTCTTTATCCATTGTATACTATCTATATCCTTCTCTCCTATGCCATCAATATAAGTAATGTACCATTTTGCTTAGAAAAGATTCTTGATCTACCACTTTCACATATGAAATTTGGAACCATTAAAATGCTGAAATCTAATTAGGTCTTTATTAATGGACATTGTCATCTAATTGCAACATGTGATTATATTGTAAGAAACAAAAAATAAGTAAAAAGTAATAAAATATAATGCATGAAAAATTAGAAGTTCAAGAAAATTAAGAAAATGTTCAAGAAAACAAGAATTTTGTATGGAAAAATAAGAATTATAAATTTTTTAAGCAGTGCAAATGAAAAACTTGAAAAATATATTGGAGTAGCTGCTTTATGACTTTAATCATTCAATCACTCAATTGCTTCATGTATTGCTTTTAAAGAAGTTAATGTTTTTGAAGCAGTCATTTGTTCAAAAATAAAATATGAATTTGAGAAACAACTAAATCAATCATAAATCATTGAATTAATTAAAACCTAGCACTCTAAAAAAAATTCACAAAATAATGAAGCATGGACACATAATCTTTTTATTTCACAAAACATAGAAGTAAGTGAACTCAGAATTTTATTGAAATGTAATTTTTTAATTAATTATGAAATAGATGTATATGATTATACTCTTGTAAGAAAGGTTTTTATTTTATGAATAAACAATAGAAGAGAATTTTGTAATCAATGATTTAATGAAATTTTACATACAAAAGGCATAAAAAATGAATTAATAATTTCATATACTTTAGAACAAAATAGAATTTTAGAAAGAGACAATCATACAATTATAGAGGTTTTTAGAAGTATGATTTATCATACTCATTTTAATCTAGTATTTTGAATAAAGGGTGTTAATAACATATTTTATACCTTAAATTTTACATGTTTTTGTTTTTATCCAAGAATTATTCCTTTAGAGGCTTATACTAGAAAGAAGTTTTTTTTTTTTTTTTTTTTTTTTTTTTTTTTTTTAAATATGATCTTTTAGATTCAAATTTTATAATCATGTACTTGAAAAATTAATATTAAAAATTACTTTAGATTATTTCTTAGATACTTAGATGAATCAAAAGCTTATTAAATTTGGAATTTAATACATAAAAAAATAATAATAAGTCAAGATATTATCTTTGATGAATACAATTATATACAAGAAATATTATCCAAAGAAAAAATTATTCAAAATATAACTTTATTTGAACTTTTTTTTTTAAGAATCTCTTCAAATTTTTCAAAAATCTATACAAGCTTCCTTATTGGAATTAAATATGCCATCTACAAGTACACTTTAAAATTTTATAACCACACATTTAGATTCCCACAAATCTCAAATACATGAAAGGAATATGAACAATGAAAGTATTCATCATGTCAATCACGGATATGATATCAATATGAGCAACAAAAGTAATGCTCATGATATTTAAGATCATATTATTAGTAGAAACAACAAAATTGTTGTTCAAAAAAATCATGGTTATATAAATAATATGAGTAATGGTAATTAAGCTCTTTATGGCACTATGCATAATAATGATAACTTAAATTGAGATGACCATCTAAATATTAATAGAAGTTTATAATATGATGTATTGCTAATTATAATTGATCTTTCACAACAAAATTTTAATAATGTTCTTGATGTTTCACCTTCCAATCACAATTATTATAATATTGTTGTTGAATTAAATTCATAAATTTCATCATTTTTGATTCATGTTGTACAACATTCTTATTGTCATCTTGATCATTATGGATATTTTGTAAATGAGTGGCAATATACATGTGTAAATTTTGTGATGACATTATTTTTTGCATTTGTTATAGAAAATATGGAAAATTTAGAACCTACTAAAATTTTATGTTCAATTTCTTTGCAGCATTAGTTATCAAAGCCATCCATTGCTTTACAACAATCAATTCATGATTCTATGAAATCATCAACTACTTCATAAAATATATCTACATTATTATTGAAGTCAAATTCTACTCCATCAACTATGCAATTCATGATTCAATCAAAATCTTTTGTTCTTCAATCATATCAAAAGGCACTTCTTTCAATATACTCTTCAGAATAGATGGATGTTATGTGTAAAGAGTATCAATCTTTAATTAATAATTATACTTAGTAATTAATAAATTTGTCTTTTGGAAGAAAAGTTATTAATTTAAAATAGATTTATGCACTTAAAACAAAGTCTAATTGTACTATTGATCAATTCAAAGTAAGATTGGTTGCAAAAAGATGTTCACAAAAATATAGAATTAATTTCATAGAAATCTATTCACCTACTATTAAATATGATTCTATTAGACTTATTTTTACTATTATTATAATTCATGATATGTACATTTGATAATTTGATATAAAAATAGCTTTTTTACATAAATAAATTCATCAAAAGACTTATATGAAATAAGCTCTAAGTTTTAAAAATTCTCAATTTTCAACCAAAGTATATTATTTACATAAGGCTTTATATGATTTGAAATAAGTTAGTTCTGTATGGGATCAATATATTGATCAATTTTTTCTTACTCATAAGCTTAAATAAAATTTTGTGGATCCATGTCTTTATTATTTCAGTAATATTAATCAACTTATTATCATTATATTTGTTGATGATGGACTTTGTTGCTATCAAGGCATTCAACGCATTGATTGTGTCCTTATGACAATGAACAACATTTTTGAAACCAAAGTCAGTGATCTAAATATACATGTTGGTTTACAAATTAAAAGAAATCGAGTTGTAAAATTTATATTCATATATCAACATGCTTATCTAGAAAGGATTTTACGTAATTATGGATTTTCATAATCACCTCCAATTACTACTTCAATGGATTGTAATTCTACTTTTCAAAGTATTAATTCTGTTGATAATGACTTGGTTGAAAATTTTCCTTTTATAAATGTTGTTGGTAGTGTTCAATTTGCCTCCATAGGAACTTGGCTTGATATTACTTACTCTATAAGTAACATCTCATGTTTCAAAAAATAATAATTATTCAAGCACATTGTAATAATATAAAATGAATATTTTGATATATTCAAGTCACTTTGGATTTTAAACTTATTTATGGTGGCACAAATTTATCCAAATTGCATATTGCATTTTGCTCATACTATTTATGCAATTGATGTGGATGATCAAAAATCACAAAGTAACTATGTTTTATTTTTAAATAGTAGACCAATTAATAAGAGATTGAAGAAATAAGAATGTTTAGTTGATAGTACAACCTTTTCCAAATATATTGCCTATTACATGGCAGCCAAAGAAATTATTTAGTATAAACAAATATTAATAGATCTTGACTATACTTTAGAAAAACCTACCATTTTATGCTTTGATTTACAAATTGTAATTAGATTGGCAGTCAATTTTGAGTTTCACATGATTCAAGAGTTCTAGAAATAGATTATATATCTATTAAAAAAATATAGCTGATATTTTTACAAAAGCTCTAGCTCAATATAAATTCAAGACATTACATGCTTTTTTGACTCTATACATTAGCTAATGCTTCACTTCAATGGAGAAGTGGAAGAATTAGGACATATAATATCAATGGAGAAGTTATTATTTAGTGGAAGTTTAGTAACTAGTGTGTTACTAGTAAGAAATAAGAACTTCTAATTGATACATATAATTTGACTTGTAATAAAGTGTTGTTTTTCCCAATATTCTTGGTGTAGTATTCTGTAAATTCAATAGATACCTGAAACGTATCACCTTACAGGATTAGAAAACTACGGCATCTGGGCTTTGGGATTCAAAGTATATTAGAACGAGACGGATTGCATCACTACTATGTTACACCTCCTAACAGCACAATGTCGGAGGAAGAAAAGAGAGGAAGACAACAAGCCCAGAGCACTCTGAAAAGCAGCGTGAAAGGAGGGACGGCACTCAAGCTACTCAGAAGGTACCACAAGCCATACGACTGCTGGACCTCGCTCAAGTCTCGGTACGAATCAAACAGCAACATGAGGAAAGTCTTCCTGATTGACAGATTCTTCAATGTTTGAAAAACAAGCAGCATGGACGAATACCTCACCGACATGAAGGATACGGCAGATCTACTCGACAAAGTCGGAGTTCCACTTCCGGAAGAGGTAGTAACATACAACACACTCCAGAACCTGCCCAAAGATTTCGATGTCACAAAGCAGATGATTCTCAACGAGAGAAAACTTCCAACCAATGAAGGCAAGACTACTAAATAAAGAGACGGCCCGCAAACTGGACTCAATCTTCGCTTGACAAATCATCACCGCATCAAACACCTAATAAACTTTAATGTGGATCGAAGCCAAGTATCTCCCACCTTTGCATCTTCGGAGCTCTAGCGTATGTGCACTGTACCACGCTTAACTCAGGAAAGATCGACATCGAATTGCGACCTTGTATCCACCTCAGCGTCGACGAGCAGGTCAATGGCTACAGATGCTACGACCCTGCAACCAATACCGTCGTCATCTCCAAAGATATCAGAATCATGGAGGACAAAATCTTACATCATAACCTGCCGAACCATACATCTGCAACTCCGGTCTCTGGACCTCCACTTTTTCTAAATCCCCTTCCGTCCATCCCCACACCTTCACCAATACAAGAGGTGCCACTTGCATCGCCCAATATAGAAGACTCTACGACAAGCACTGCCGAACATCCAAGGTCCAACGATAAGCACACAGAAGATCACATCGCTGGGTCACCCCTGATAATCCGCCGATCGAACTGGCTCCGAGCTCCGTCGCGATCCTAAGACAGCTACATTTGGGTAGACTTTATCGAATCTTTCAAAAGGGCCCTCGAAGAAGGCGGTGAACAGCTATCGTACCAGCAAGCTTAGTCCGATCCTCGCTGGATCTCAGATATGGAATCCGAATTCACTTCTATGCAGAAAAACTACACGTGAAATCTCGTTCCATTACTACCCAGAGTTCGTCCCATCTCAGCTCGATGGATATACAAAATTAAACCTCGTAACAACGGCGGCCCTGCCTGCCACAAGGCCAGGATTGTAGGACGCGGGTTCAAACAACATGACATCAATTTTCAAGAGACCTTCGCACCAACAGTCCAGTGGGAATCCATACGCTTAGCAACCGACCTAGGTTACTCGTGGCCAATCTACCACATGGACGTGGCTACAGTTTTTTTTAATGGGTACATCCACGACGGTATCTTTATGTTACAACCCCCGGGATGCACATCACCAGGCACTAAACATTTAGCAAGTAAACTCAACCGATCACTTACAGCACCAATGATCTTGTAAAAAATGCTTGGTCAACTTCTGAATCACCTCCTCTTTGGCGTTGCAACAGGCTCTCATGCCACAGAAGACGTTCTTCTAGATGATCTATAGTCTGATTAGTTTCCATTACTTTATACCACGTAGCTATAATGCTGTAATAGCTAGGAAGAAGGCTGTATATTATGTTACTAATAATCATTTCGCCGGAATAATATGTCCTAAATTTGCTAGTATCATAGTCATGTCACTGATATTTTGTATATGTGTTGAAATATTATCAATTATCTGCATCTTGTAGTCAAGAAAAATTCCTTGAAGTGTAAAAATATTTTCAGGAGTCTTCTTCAAGTAAAGGGAACACTGCTTCATCCACAATGCAATAGCAATAGGACATCCAGTTAGTTTTCCTGGCAATTTCTGTGTAATAGACTTGCTAATTAACATACGTGCGTTTACATTTTTCTCATTCCAAGCGTCAATTAGAGCTTGCTCATCAAGAGCGATTAAAGTTGAGTAAAATATTGGTCGCTTCTCAAGACCATGAAGAACCTGAAGTATTTTATTGTAATACTTCTACATTGAAAATCTACGTTGAATGTTGTACCAATAAAAATGTTCAATTTTCTTTAGATGAAGGCGTGATTGATGATATGGGCTCTAGTCACTATTCTAGGGATCATTGGGCCAAAGCCACTATAGAAACTTTGGTAAAGATGGAGGATTTTATAGATCTAGTAATTGCTCCCATTGACCATGGATCTAAAGTGAATATTATGTCAAAAAAAATTTACAAATGTAAAAGGTGGCCCATTAATATGGAACATGGTAGGATGATTTAGACAGCAAGCAATTCACAAGGAGACCTTTATGGTGCTTGTCCTAATGTAAAGGTAAAAATTAGAGATGTAACTACTGAACAAAATTTCTTTGTTTAAGATACTACTTTATATCTAATGATTCTCAAACAATCATATATTACAGCTATGAGAATTAAAACTAAGATATTAGATGATACATCAACATGTGTCTATATTAGAAGCTTAGATAGCAAGAGAGTAATATAGTTCTTAACTATATCTGTTGACCATGAGTGCAATGGAGATTATCTACAAAGAGGTTTATTAATAAGGATTAATGAGAAATTTAAGGATTTTTGTAAAGTACTACTATAGAACAAGAATATATTGATACATCAAAGAAGGTATTCTTGCATAGAAAAAAAATATCTTTTATATAAGTATTATAAAATTATTTAAGAATTAATTTGTTATATATACACAGCTTAATGGCTTACAAAAATGGAAGTGAAGAAGTGTGTATAATTTTGAAAAAGACATAAAAAGAGTAGATGTATTGGTAAAAATGATAAAATAATAGGTGTTTATATGGAGATAAGTTCAAAAGATTTTTTCATAGAGGTATACTAGAAAAACAAGGACAAAATTCATAAGCAACATTGATTAAGGTCACAAGAATTTTATGAAGGTATTGAAGACGACATTGATATCTTTACAAATGAAAAAGAAGACATGGATCATAAAAAAGACAATATTGAAGAGGTGGTATGATGTCAACCACAACTTTGATTCTTCTTGGTACATATTAGAAGATGCACACATTTGGAGGAGATAGATGTTATGTTGTGATTTGGCTATCATGTGAAAACATTTAATATATAATTTACTAAATAAAATAGTAAGAACCATTGTAGAATATGTAAATAAATTTTTTGGTAAGTTAATGGTTGGTTATTGATAACCTTGAGAATTAGACTTATGGTTAGGCAGTTTAGTTGGTAACAGTAGGATGTTAGTGGAACAAATGGTTAAGAATTCAAAAGGTCATAACCTTTGGAATCCACTGGCCGACGGTCCATCTTTTGGTAGGATAAAGAAGTTGAGGAAAGAGAGATCAGAGCCAGACTATGAGAGTCGTAAGCCAGGGTAAGCTTGGTGCTACTTCTTTGTTTCTTTTCTTTTATTATTTTCTTATGAAGAATTATGATTGACATAAGTATTGTTAAAATTGTGATTAGAATATTATAGAATATGACTTTGAACTGACTGATTTAGAGAAAATCTATGATCTTGAGAATTAAGATTATCGAATTGTATTGTGTTAAGTGAAGATATTGAATTTTGTGTAATGAATTGAGAAATTAAATATAATAAGTAAGCTGGAGATCAGTAATTGAATATATATAAATTGTAAAGAGAGTAAGTGGGAGATGAACTGATAAGAATATGGAAGTATTATTGAATTGATAGTCGTAGAATGGATTATGTGTTGAATTAAGAAGAAAGTAGTTAGCGTTGGTTTTTTGTAGTTTGATAATTGATTTTAGATAGCTACAAAACAATCAATTGTAACACTAACAGACCCAATTTATATAACCAATCTTTTTCCATGTTCGAACCTACCTCTATTAGTTCAATTGCTTTGGTATATTGAAGCTTGAACACAACAAGAACAATATTTTGGCATCATTGCCGGAGAAATGATAACAATATGAAAAGTTAGAAATTGATTGTATGAAAAGAATGAAAGATTATGAGTGATAAACATAAAGGGAAAGATTATCAAAGAATTAATCAACAAGCAAAAGAAAGATAAGAGAGATTACGCATAAAAAATCTCCTACAGGAACGACAAAAATGAATTGTAGGTCCAAGTAAAATCAAAGGAAGAAAAATTCAAATTCAAATAGCAAGGAGACCAGTGATAACACCAATGGCTGCGGGAGTGCCAGAAGTACAAATTGCAATACAAATGGGAGTAGTAGGAGACTGAACTATAAATGTCGCATCATTACCTACTTTTAGTAGTTGGCCGAGCTTTGATCCCGATCACCATATATCTCAATTCTTCATAGTCTACATGGTTAATAATGGTAGAACTGAAGACATTTAGTTGAGATAGTTGCTACCAATTTTAAAAGATACAGCTTTTGAATGGTATAATCGGCAACCAGTGGATAGATTTCTCAATTGGGAGGCCTTGAGGAATGCCTTCCTAATCCATTTTAGACCAATTGGATTTAAAGATCGACTTAGAGAAAGTTTGATGAATAGCAAGATGTTTGCGGAGGAATCAGTAGAGTCCTATTATAGTCGGATTGTGGATATACTTTGTAAATGGTCAAATAATCAAATGCCAGATGCGTTTATATTGTCGATATTAATCAATGATTTGTATCCACCAGAATTAAAAATGTTTGTAAAAGAGGCTCAATCAGCTACGGTAGAAGCATCGTTGGCACGAGCAAAGGTAAAGGAAGGATGTCATTATGACCAATTATCAACAGTGGAGGCCACGATGATTCAAAGTTCAGGAAGCTAAAAAATACAATGGAGAAATGTGTCGATGGATAATTATCTACAAATGGTTGCGTCCAATGTGAAGAATGTTATCTTGCAACAATCAATTAATGCTACATCACTCCAAGCAATAACGCCAATAATGATGACACATTATTTTATATCGCCAACCTATAAACAACCGGAGTTGTTCACAAATGCGACTGTTAAAGATCCAAATGAAGCCTTGTTATTAAATCTAACAAAGAAGATGGAAGAATTGACCATAAATTTGACTAAAGATAAGGAGAAACGACATAAGCCTTCTAATACGAGACCTAATGTATGGTGTAATAATTGTATGGGATAAGGTCATTTTGATACGAAATGTCCATCACCTAAACAAATAGGTGTTTAATGTATATTTTGTGGAGGAAAGCACCCTACCCAAAACTGCTGGCATTTACAAAGGCAATAACGATTCAATAACTAGACGTTAATACAGCCAATTCAATGGGATGTTAATCAAGTATAGACTGGAAATATGGGTGGTTAAAATAGTAATCACCCAAATTGACCTAATTGTGGCTTTGGAGATTTTCAAAATACTAATTATAATCTGGTTTATGGAACAAATATGCAGAACGGTGGAAATAATCAAGGGGGTAATCTCCAAACTATATCAACTCAGCAGTCCAATTCTCGACCAGTAGCAACTGGTCAGCTAGGATCATTTAATATGGCTACTTGGAATCGGCCTAATAGATAAATTCCGGTGGAGACTCCATGTGTATGTGACGGTATGGGCCAAAAACCACTATGTTGCCACCGTTGCTGAAAAATTGGTCATTATGCCAGTGAATGCCCTAATCCAAGGAGTATAGACGATTATGCTCCAATATGTGGAAATTACAAGCAATCGGATCATTTTCATTATCAATGGAATGTTCCATTTAATCTTAATAATCATGATCAAAAGATATAATTGACTATGCAAATTGTAGAAGAAAAAAATAACGGGACACAAGAATCACCAATTCATCGGGTAGAAGTAGTCCAAGCTGTCTTTACAAGAAGTCGGCAAAAGGAAAAAGGATCAATTCAATATTTGGATGATCATGAAGCGAAGGACTAATTGGACCCAATTATGGAGCCATCTAATCCAGGTCTTGACATGGGCTTCTTACTCAGTA